TTAACTAATCATTGGATGGGAAAACAAATCCATTCTCAATTCATTATCTATTTATGTGGACTGCTTTAGATTTAAATGTGAGTCTATCGATCATTTTATATTTGCTCATTTCTTCAACTTGTGACTCTTTTATTGCTTTTATTGTAAATGTTGAATCGATTCTTTGAAATGGTCATGGAAAGGGTGACAATTGCTGTGTAAATCAAAAATGATAATCATGTGTGTATTGGGCAACAATAGACTATCGACAGGAAAATATTGATTGAATGGTAATGGTGATAAATCATGGAAATACTTTTGGCATGTATTGAGTACGATAATAATTTACTGCAAGACTGATCATTTTTGAACTGGTTTCAGAGCTTAATTTATTGCCATTTTGTGCAACATTATTATTCTGTAAACTTCACCTTTAGGTGTAATAAACCTGAGAAAAGGTTCAAGTGAAGAACCCAAATGACTGAGGAAAGTTAATGGGGTTGATTGAGGGCTTGTAGGTTACAGTGAACAAACCTTCACAGAGAATGTCGAAACCTTTACTTTTCTCTTGGCACGAACAAGGTTTAATTAATGACCGCTGGGGACAAGCATTACGAAGTAATGAGCCTGGAATTAATGATAAAATAATCCAAAACCCGGTCCAGTTGATTAAATTGATTAAAGTTATCGGGGAAGAGGGTTGCAATGTAATTAACAAAAGAGATCTCTGGTGATTAATGATTTCCATCAATTTTTTTGGATCACATTCACAAGATTATATATCGATTAAGATGTTTAAAGGTTAAGTTAAATTGGATCACGTTGGTTCCTCTACTTATTGCTTGGACAATTTACAGATGTTATTGACACAAAAATTTACTGTTAACAATCATATCACACATAATTGAACTTAGGAATACTCGAGAAACTGAAAATCTGGTAAACAAAAGGAGAAAAAAATTATATTTAAAATAAGTATCTTGTCTGGGTCTACACTTGCTTTTGCCGATTTCAATTCCAATCAGGTCAAAAAGCAATGTTGATGAAATGGTTTAGTGACAGAAAACATGATAATCACATCGAGATGAGTTCATCGTGGTGAGAAATGGCTGGACATTGATGATGGAAACATAATAATCTGGATAAAGTTAAGTGAGTTGATTTCAAACATAACAGCAAAGCAACACTTGAATTTATAATATACAACTGGTCAACAATGAAAATGAATTGATTAAAAATCCGTTTTTTAAATGTTAAAGGTGAAGTTGGATTGGAGAACAAAATAATTAGAAAAAGTTCGACTTGAATTTTTTGGCTAATTAGATTCCAATGTTCGTTGATAGGTAGAAACGTTGATGTTTGAAAGTGAATTTATATGTAAATGCAAATGGTTGAAATAAATTGAAAGCAAATTAACTTGTTGGCTAGCCGAATAAATTAACCGGTTAATTGTTGAGATAGCTGAAGGTTAATCTGTTGTTGTTGTTGTCTTGTTAAAGCTGGAAAGTTTCAACATGGGAAAATGAACGAGAAAGATGAAACAGATGAAAAAAAGAGAAGAAACAAGGGAAGAAAAATTTCATTTACGAAAATTTACTAAGAGATTGCGTCAAATTGAAGCTTCATCTGGTGACAAATTTTGTCATTTCAAAAATCATGAATAATCTATTTAATTTTTCAGCTCATGAGATTCATTTGATTTGGTTAATTGGATTAATTTGTACTTCTTTCACCATCTTGACTGTTAACCGGATTATTGACCGGTTTATCTCTGTTCAACTCGCATTATCTTTCAATGCGCACTATCATAATGGTCCCTCAAGTTTTTCCCGGTTATTTTATTTTCTGGTTTCAACAACTTGTTTCTCATTGTTTACCTTTTTAATTCTGTATTTTTGTATTTATTTATTTTTATTTCTGTTTTTAATAAGTTTTAAGACAAATCGTCTTGTGCCTTGATATGGATTTATTTCTCACCGAAGAAGATTATCTGCCGGCCGAATTTGAAAAGTTACCTTTGGATGAGGCTATTTCAAGAGTTCATGGGTTAGAAGATGAAACACCCTCAAATAAAAAGAAATCAAAGGGAGACGGAATTAAACGTAAACGAGCTCCAGAGGACGATGAGGTTGGCGATCACGACGTGATGGTGCAAAATGATGAATATGAGGAAGATGGTTGGTTGATAAATGATCTTGGCGATGATGGTTATGCTATTGCCATAGGGGATGATGATGAAGAAGACGATGACGATGAAGGTGGTCAGAAGCGACCAAAGGTTTTTGGTGAAGATGAAGCAGAAGAGGTGGATGATGTATCAGGCAAACCAAAAAAGCCAAAGAATGATGAAAAGGAAGAAAGAGAGAATAAGAAGCGCAGGAGAATCCATAAAGGCCTAAGAGTGACTCTCGATGTTGATAAATTGAAACATTTTAATGCTTTGCCCGTGTTACCTGGTATTTTGAGGAAAGAGAAGCTCAAAGGGGAAGGATATGAAGAGGACGATTTAGCCCTGATAATGATGACCATGGAACAGTGGGCTCATCGAGTTCAGCCAAATATGAAATTTGATGATTTCATTGAAAAAGTTGAACAACTTGGTACTAAAAAGATCCTTAAAACGTTTGTCGCCAAAATGTTCAGATGTAAACTTGATTACGCTGATGATAAATAAATAATCGCAATAATTGAGAAAATCGTCCGTTTTTGGTGAAAACGCTTTACTAAAAACGTAAAATTTGTAGCTTCGGAATATGAAAGAAATTGTGGGCAAATTTTTCTCTGATAACTTCGTCATCAACATTTATATGGGAATCATTGTTAACCTTATAGAAGCTTGGGAACCTCACCGTGCAGCTAAACCAGCCATAAACAATACTTTGGAAACAGCTAGTCTACGTAAACATGCAAACTATCACAAGAATCATCTAAATAAATTATTACAGCAAACTACAGATTTACTGAAAGAAGGATATCTTGATGAAGAGGTGGTCTTAGATTACACATCAAAGTTAACTAATATTTTGAGAGAATGTAATGTTACTCTTCGATGGTTAATGCTGCATACATTTTCAAACCCTAATGTGGAGACTCATTGGACAACCTTTAAAAAGTGTAAACAATCTCGAGATGTGATAATAAGCGAAACTGGTCATGATCCAGTGAAAATTTTTGAATTGCTGATGCATACCTCACAATTAGAATTGAAAGTGAAAGAAATTTATAAACAATTGCTCAATGAAAAGCGTGAAAAATGGGACAAATATCAAAGTGAAGCTGTCGATAGGATATCGGAATTATCGGAAGTATTTTCTGGTAGCAAGCCATTGACCCGTATTGAACCCAATTCTAGTCTTCAAGAATGGTTTGGACAACTTGCAAGTCAAATAAAAGCTCTTGACGAAATTCAAGATTTCCATCAATTAGAAGGCAGTATACAAGTCAAGCAACAGGGTATTCAAAGAGATCCAACTCTAGTCATTAAACTTCGAGCTACTTTTCTCAAGCTTGCCTCTGCTTTGGATTTGCCCTTACTTCGGATAAATCAAGCATCGAGTCCTGATTTGGTCCCCGTCTCACAATATTATTCAACTGAATTGGTTTCATATGTTAGAAAAGTTCTTCACATCATTCCCGACTCTTTATTTCGCCTTATGGCACGGATAATTGAATTGCAAACAAATCAAATTCAAGAGCTTCCCACCCGATTAATGAAAGATCAACTTCGATCGTATGCTTTTCTTGAAGAAAGATATGAAGTTGCTCAGTTAACTCATTCCATTTCTGTTTTTACCGAAGGAATGCTCATGATGAAGACAACATTAGTTGGTATCATTACAATTACATGGACAACCTTTAAAAAGTGTAACAATCTCGAGATGTGATAATAAGCGAAACTGGTCATGATCCAGTGAAAATTTTTGAATTACTAATGAACACTTCACAATTAGAATTGAAAGTGAAAGAAATTTATAAACAATTGCTCAATGAAAAACGTCAAAAATGGACAAATATCAAAGTTAAAATAAAATTTCAATGTTACACATATATCTTTGTCCTTTTCATTGTGTTAAGCTTTTCTCTAATTCTTGCTTTTTAGTCTTTTCCATAGCGATAGAAAGTCTTTTCTCGGCAGCTTTCCTAGCATTTTCCGCGATTTTCCTTCTCTGCTCTTCAGTTAGTGAGGATGATTTATTTTGACTACTGGTATTCTGTGAGCTTGCAGTGGGTTGACTATTATTCACAGAAGTCACCATCGGTGGATTACTTGTATTCCCATTGGTTACATTAGAAACTGAATTAGAAGCAGCTGCTCTTTGTTTCACCACAAGTTCTGCCTCCTTCATCAAAGCATCAAAAGCATCTTCGGCATTAACTGTCGGCATTGGAGGTAATTCCTCGTCGAACAACATTTCTTCATCCGTGTCACGATCAAAATCTTTTCCAGGTACATTACCACGAACATCGAGGGTCATATTGTATCTCATTTTGGCGACAAAAGTTTTAAGGATCTTTTTAGATCCAAGTTGTTCAACTTTTTCAATGAAATCATCAAATTTCATATTTGGCATGACCCGATGAGCCCACTGTTCCATGGTTATCATTATCAGGGCTAAATCGTCCTCTTCATACCCTTTACCTTTGAACTTCATTTTCCTCAAAATACCAGGTAGCACGGGCAAAGCATTAAAATGTTTCAATCTATCAACATTGAGAGTCACTCTTGGGCCTTTATGGATTATTCGGCGCTTCTTCTTCTCCTTTTCTTCCTTTTCATCATTCTTTGGCTTTTTTGGTTTGCCTGATACATCATCCACCTCTTCTGCTTCATCTTCACCGAAAACCTTTGGTCGCTCCTCATCACCATCATCGCCATCGTCTTCTTCATCATCCTCCTCTTCGTAACCAGCATAACCATCATCACCAAGATCATTGACCAACCAACCATCTTCCTCTACGTATTCATCATTTTGATTATCGGGAGCACCATCTTCATCGTCCTCTGGAGCTCGTTTACGTTTAACCTTTTCTCCCTTTGATTTCTTTTTCTTTGAGGGTCTTTCATCTTCTAGTTCACGAACTCTTAAAATAGCCTCATCCAAAGGTAACTCATCAAATTCGGCCGGCAGATAATCTTCTTCGGTGAGAAATAAATCCATATCAAGGCACAAGACGATTTGTCTTAAAACTTATTAAAAACAGAAATAAAAATAAATAAATACAAAAATACAGAATTAAAAAGGTAAACAATGAGAAACAAGTTGTTGAAACCAGAAAATAAAATAACCGGGAAAAACTTGAGGGACCATTATGATAGTGCGCATTGAAAGATAATGCGAGTTGAACAGAGATAAACCGGTCAATAATCCGGTTAACAGTCAACATGGTGAAAGAAGTACAATTAAACTAATTAGCCAAATCAAATGAATCTCATGAGCTGAAAAAATTATATTATTCATGATTTTTGAAATGACAAAATTTGCTACCAGATGAAGCTTCAATTTGACGCAATCTCTTTTTTGCATGTGTTTCATCTTTCTCGTTCATTTTCCCATGTTGAAACTTTCCAGCTTTAACAAGACAACAACAACAGATGTTTCCATCATCAATGTCCAGCCATGTCTCACCACGATGAGCTCATCTCGATGTGAGTATCACGTTTTCTGTCACTAAACCATTTCATCAACATTGCTGTTTGACCTGATTGGAATTGAAATCGGCAAAAGCAAGTGTAGACCCAGACAAGATACTGTTTTCAATATTATTTTTTTCTCCTTTTGTTTACCAGATTTTCACAGTTCAAGAAAGATATGAAGTTGCTCAGTTAACTCATTCCATTTCTGTTTTTACCGAAGGAATGCTCATGATGAAGACAACATTAGTTGGTATCATTCAAATCGATCCCAAAAAGTTACTTGAAGATGGTATCCGTAAAGAGCTAGTAATCCAAGTTGCCAAAGCATTACACCAAGGATTAGTTTTCAATCAAAGAGTAAAACCAAGTGAACTTGTTCCCAAGTTAAGAATTATCTGTAACATCATGGATGGTTTACGTCGCTCATTTGAATATATCCAAGATTATGTGTGTATTTATGGTCTAAAGATATGGCAAGAAGAAGTCTCGAGAATTGTCAGTTACAACGTTGAACAAGAATGTAATGCTTTTATGCGTCACAAAGTTCTTGATTGGGAAAGTATATATCAATCGAAGACTATCCCTGTGCCTAAATTTCCTCCATTGGATCAATTTTCAGTCAATTTTATCGGTCGATTAATCGGAAAATTTTGAGAATCACTGATCCAAGGTAAGTGAATATGTGATATTTTTCGTGATATCTCACAACCTTATTTTGAATTTAGTATTTATTAATTGTTTTACAAATTATTCAACTATTGATATCGCAATTTCTTCCAATAATAGAACCACCATTTACGTGAACTCTTCAAGAACCTGGTATGATAATGAAACACGGGCTGAAATTGTTGATCCCAAATTATTTAAACTAATTTTAGTAAGTAAACTCTATTTTGCATTTACTAGTTAATTATGACTCACAGTTTACTTTCAATTTATTTGTGATTGTCTTTTTGACTCATTTTCCTTCATTCAATCTAATCGTTTAGCAAAGCACGGGAACAGCTGGAATCAATGGCCTTTATCGATTACTTTCATTTATGATTGTCAGTGAACTGGGGGAAATTGAATAATTAATCGAGAAACAATTGCTGAATGAAAAGTGGTGGCACGATACCAAAGAGTATAACTATTACTCTTTGCACAATACTGTGATAAATGTTGGAACCTTTTTATCTAAAAATGATTGCGATATGCCATCAAGTGAGTTACAAACCAACTAAAAAGATTGATTTAATAAGAAAAATAAAATTCTTTTGTTTTTTATTTACAGATCAAGCTCAATATCAATAAAGATCAAGATCAATAAATTGCAATCACCAATAACTTCTAGGAATCCAAGAACTCTGCCAATCATTACTGAATCAATAATGAAGATTAGACAAATGCAACTAATCAAAAATAACATATCTTTTGAACTTAAGGATAGCTGCAATTATCAAGCAAGGAATTTAAGATCCGCTTATGAAACTCTCGCTTTACTCTCGCTAAAAACATACAAGATTTTCGCCTGTAAGCCAAATAGAAGTGAGTTGGAAAATTTACTTGGAATAATGAAAGATGACCTGAATCTGTGAGTAAAGAAGATGCTGAAAAGATAGGAGTTGCGTTGTTATCTTTAGAGACGTGTATTGCAGGACTACTGCGTTCAATCGGAATTGAAACACGAAATTTTCTCGATAGTCTATTAAGAACTGGGCACGCATTTTTAAAATCTATAAATCCTCGCTTTGACCAACAAATATAAACTAAAATTTCCTTTTTTTAGATATTACAATTAAAAAATCTTGGTGAGTGACGTTCATCAGGCTTAAATTGACCTCCATTGTATTTTGCAGTGATTTCCGCTTTAAGCTGTATTTTTAAGCAGTGCGCTAAAAAATTTTCGCATATTTTCCGATATAATATTTTTCATATAAATATAATCATATTTTCCGATGTTTACAAAAATCGATTTGCACTCGTTCTGAATTTGCAAGATTTTTCTTATTAACAATGTCATTATTCGAGATTGGGCAGAATCATAGCTTAAGTCGTCTGATCAGGTCTTGTTAGGATCACTCAAAGTTTGAAGTGTTCATTATTATAACTCTTGATCAGAATTAAAACCTTTGAAAGGATGGTCCATCACATAAGCTTTCGGCAAACTACTGTTTCAAATATTCTTCAAGAATGACTGAACCCATGACTTTATTTCCACTTGAAAGTCGGTTGATTTATTGGCACTGAAAATTTCATGCAAATAAATTAACAAGAAATTATTAAAAAATAACCGAAGAAGATATTACTGAGGATTTAAACGAATAAATTACCTGAAGATATGAAGATTCATCAGCTTTGTTTGAACTGTTAGGCTAGCAGGGTAAACTTGTCATTTCAAACACATTTTCTTGTCTAATTTGAATAAAGATCAGAATAAACTATTTTAAAAGCAATGAATATTCATGGTTTCAAACATCATCAGTTTAATGTCTGCTTTAGAACAAAATTTACCAAAAGATTGATATTTAATCAGCACAAATAAAGCTAACAACATAGAAGCTTGTGAGAGACCAGTAACGCGTACATCATGAATTCAATGAAAAGATGTTGCTTCAACATAGTGGCATAAAATTTTATTTCAAGTTCTGATATTTTCTATTGTTCGACTGCCACATTAAAAAGTGAAAATGCAACTGTTGAAAGAGTTTTTAATCTTGTTAATTGCATCAAATTTATTCATTGATTATGTTTCATCACAAGATGATCAAAAGAAGGCCGACCCTCGCTGTGAGGAAAGTACAATTCTTAGAATTAAGTTCGAAAATTTGGTTGAAAAATCAAGAGAAGCTATTAAACAATCCAAATCTTTGACAAAAGATGAACGTTATGAGTTGATATCTTTGAAGAAGTGTTTGGATCAAGCAGAGCCTTCCGAGCAAATAAAAGAGTTAATCGAAAAATTGAGAAAGAGGATCAAAAAAGTTGTGTCTGGTTTAAAAGACTAATACTTACAATTGTAAGTAATCGGTAAACTGCAATCTCAGAATCAAAGTAAAATTTCTATTGCTCAGATATTAATATAATAGTCGTTAAAAAAGTTTTGGTAAGTGATGTTTATCAGTGTTTAAATTGACCTTTATTTTCCAGTGATTTTTGCAATTAACTGTATCTGTGAGCAATTTTATAAAAAATTTCGCATATAGACAGACTATGGAAATAGGAATTCAAAATTGGTTGATTTGAAGATTTTTTACTGATTCGTGGAATGAAAAGAATGGAATTGGTCCATCACATAATTAGGAATGTATTCAGACACATAAGTTTTCGGTAAGTTACCAAGTCTCAGAAGTTCTTCAAGAATGACTAAATCGTTGAATATTTCTACCGGAAACTCGGTTAATTTGCTGGCACTGTAAATAAAAAAATACAAAATATTACAAAAAGTAACCAAACAAAATATTATTCAGGATTTAAACAAATAAGTTACCTTGGATATGAAGATTCGACTAGTGATTTAATATAACGACATAGAAGTGATATAAACCGTTTAACCATATCACAACGATATTGTCTTAAAAGAGTTAATAATCCAGTAACAAATGGTTGTCCATCGGCTGAATCAGTTATTTTCTTGGCAGTCAATCCATGAATTTTATCAACGTAAATTAATTTGGGATTTGATAAAATCACAATTACAAGACAAACTAAATCCATGTACGGAGGTAAAGTAGATCCAATGTAAATCTGTATTGAAATAAAGGAAAGATTTAATATACATTGGTTGTAAAGAGTTTAGATCGGAAAATTGCACTCACTTTTGAAAGAGGATCTGATATTCCAGACCATTCTAAATAATTGGTTAATTCGTAAACAAGAGCACTTTCCTCCTTGGCTAAATATTTTTTAGGATCTCGTTTAAGTTCAGTTAATAAGGCCCTGAAAAAATGAAAAAATATGAATATGCTGAATGAAACAATAAAATTTTATCTTACTCGTTGAGAGTTTCATAAGCAGATCTCAAATTCCTTGATTGATAATTGCAGCTATCCTTGATTTCAAAAGATATGTTATTTTTGATTAATTGCATTTGTCCAATCTTCATTATTGATTCAGTAATGATTGGCAGAGTTCTTGGATTCCTAGAAGTTATTGGTGATTGCAACTTATTAGCTTGATCTGTAAATCAAAAATTGAATAATATTATTTTTTTAATCAATCTTTTTAGTTGGTTTGTAACTCACTTGATGGCATATCGCAATCATTTTTAGATAAAAAGTTGTTAACATTTATCACAGTATCGTGCCACCACTTTTCATTCAGCAACTGTTTCTCGATTAATGATTCAATTTTTCCCAGTTCACTAACAATCATGAATGAAAGTAATCGATCAAGGCCATTGATTCCAGCTGTTCCCGTACTTTGCTAAAAGATTAGATTGAATGAAGCGAAATGAGTCAAAAAAAGATTAATCACAAATAAATTGAAAGTAAACTGTGAGTCATATTTAACTAATAAATGCAAAAATAATCGACTTACTAAAAGTAGTTTAAATAATTTGGGATCAACAATTTCAGCGCGTGTTTTATTATCATACCAGGTTCTTGAAGAGTTCACGTAAATGGTGGTTCTATGATTGGGGAAGAAAAGGCGATATCAAGTTATTTGATGATATGTAAAACTAAAAATAAATTCAAAATAAGGTTGTAAGATGTCTCGAAAATATCGTATATTAACTCACCTTGGATCAGTAATTCTCAAAATTTCACGAGTTATCGACCGATAAAATTGACTG